TTCTTTTCAATTAACATCAGTCAGTACCTGCTTCCAAGTCTCCTTTCTTTTGCATGGCCCTGGTGAGAGCTCCCAGTGAGGATGATGGTGAAAAATGCTGACGTTAACATCAATGGTGATCCTGTGCTTTCCATTTGTTCTGTGTATGAACCTGTGCTAAAGGGGCGCTGGATGGTTCTCCATACTGGTCCTCATTCTCCCTCCTAGCCTCAGTGTTGGGTGGGCCACGCACACCCAGTAGATGACCAGAGCCCAAAAGTCCAGGAGGGATGCTCCACGGAGCCCCAGGCACCTTCCTGTGTTAGTTGTCAGCCTAGCTTTGACATAGCAAGAGACACCCCGCTCCTGGGATGTCCAGTTCCTCATTACCAGTGGGGACTAGGAGCCTAGAAGTCTTCCCCCTCAGCTTCCCCCCACATGAACTCATCCTCATATTCCTTCACAGGATCCTGGATCCTCCAACTCCTTCACAAAGACTAGTGTCCTTCACAAATGTTCCCAATCCACACTCTCTATCTCCTGTCATCAGAGTCTCCCCCAATTCCCCACCTTCCCACAGCCTGGGATTCTCTGAACTGGCCCTATGCTTAATCCATCCTTGAGACTTGAGATGGGACCTCCAGAGGGACACCAGACACCTGGAAGGGAAGAAGGCGCTCACCTGGGGGCTCACAGAAAACCCAAGCACAGAAATACACAGGTACAGAAGGGCACTCAGGTGCTGGGCTTATGTCCAGATTCACATAGACTCACACTGTAGACATGGGCGATACCCTGAGGGGAACACACACACAAAGAAACAAATAATTGGGGCCACCCAGACAGTGCCACAGGACACACACGCACACAATGGACACTTCCCCATATGCTGGCAGAAAACCCTATCACCAACCCTGTCCCAACACCCCACCTCTCTGCCCCCTCAACCTCACATCCCACAGTATATTGTCCCTCAGAGTCCAGGCTCCATCACCTCACTTCAGGTGCAAATGTCTGTTCTGCACAGGCCAAACTGATGGAGGGGGAAGACCACCTGTAATGCATCCCCCCAATGTGGTATCTTGTTGAGACCAAGCCTCTCCTTCTGGAAATGTTTGTATTGCAGAATGATCTCACCATTGAAATATTTTAAATGAAATGAAAATGGAAAATTACCGAGAAATGCAAAAGTAGAGAGATGCAAACAATACCTGTGGGGCTCAGGGGTGTGTGTGGGCTGCTCAGAGGCAGGTGAGCTGATTTGAGGGCCTCAAGTATCAGGAGCTGCTCCGGAACACCTGGGAGGGATCTGGGCTCAACTACCTGAATCCAAAATAGCCCAGGTTCAACCCGTGGCTGGAAGGTGCTGAGGCCACAAGGCCGATGTCCAGGCCCAGAGCTTTCCCCAGCCCCTTAGGGTTTAGTTTCAGGGAGCACAGATGTCATAATTACCTGAGGGTGACTGTGCAGCTCAGCCCATTCCCCATCCTCCACACTGACAGCAGGGACCCTCTCCTCCTGTTCTCTCCCTCACTGTGTGCTCTGCTCTCATGAGAACCCTTATGGCTGGTTCACCACAGGGCCCCTGGTCTTTGATAGTGTTCACATGTGTTGACTCATTTGGTAAAAAAAAACAACACAAAAACGCACAGATATATTGATTAGAGAGAGATAGTATGAGGGGGAGAGAGAGAAACATCCATTTGTTGTCCCACGAATTTTATATATTCATCATTTGATTCTTGCATGGGCCCTGACTGGGGATGGAACCTGCAACCTTGGCGTCATCGAGATGTTGCTTTAATCAATTGAGCTCTATAGTCCAGGCCAAATTTACCAGGGGTTTTAAGTAAAATAAGTCACTAATGTATCTGAGAATAGATACTACAACCACCATGAGGACAGATTGTGATCGAAGGCTAGAATAGAATTCATGAAGTTTCATCATGTTTTCTTTATATGGATATATTTGAAATAAGCTATTACAAAGGTAGAGTATGTCCTTGCAGCAGTAATTTCATATGCCGATGAGGAAGCACTGAAAAGGGGAGGAGGATTTCGTTTCAGGGAGACAGGCATGTATGGAAACATAAAAGTGTATGTTAAAAAGTGTGTTTTAGCCCGGCCAATATTACTCAGTGGTTGAGTACAAACTATGAACCAAGAAGTCAAGGTTAGATTCTGGTCAGGGCACAAGCCAGGATTGCAGGCTTGATACAGAGTGTAGGGCATGCAGGAGCCAGCTGATCAATGATTTTCTTTCATCAGTGATGTTTCTATATCTCCCTTCTTCTCTGAATAAAAATATTATATATTATATATATGTGTGTGTGTGTGTGTGTGTGTGTGTGTGTGTGTATGTGTGTGTGTGTGGGAGCCAGCTGATCAATGATTTTCTTTCATCAGTGATGTTTCTATATCTCCCTTCTTCTCTGAATAAAAATATTATATATTATATATATAAGTGTGTGTGTGTGTGTGTGTGTATATATTCAGGTCAAATAAATATTTTAAATCAATTACACTTTTATCAAACTTTTAAAGATGTTTAACACTTGCCACTTCCCAATAATTCAGCTGTTTTATTATGTTTTCTTGAGCATTTTTATTGCTACTGTATCAGTATGCTGAAAATAAATTATAACGATGTACTACTGAAATATCTTATCATGTCCATGTTCTATGTCATCATTTTGGCAGTTTGAACCTAGTGATGATGAGAGTATTTACACCAGGGAAATTGAGAAATACTACAAACCTAGACTTCACTTAATGCAGTGGTTTTCAACCTTCTGGCCCTTTAAATACAGTTCCTCATGTTGTGACCCAACCATAAAATTATTTTCGTTGCTACTTCATAACTGTAATGTTGCTACTGTTATGAATCATAATGTAAATATCTGATATGCAGGATGGTCTTAGGAGACCCCTGTGAAAGGGTCGTTCGACCGCCAAAGGGGTCACGACCCACAAGTTGAGAACCACTGACTTAATGTTTAGACTTAAAGAACACTGGTGGAGAATATTAATAATGCAGATTCAACTTATAAGTGTATGGTATAAGTGGCTATTAATTGTCCATAGGATAAAAGTTGAGAAAAAAAAATTTCTTTCCAAAATTGAAAACCAATGCTTCCATATGGCAAAGAAATCACTTGAGTCAATGAGGAAGGAGTGAAACTCAAACACATGTCTTAGATGTCAAGCACTGTCCTCCTATTGGTAAGAATAATAAATTAACTGAAAAAATAGGCAAAAGGTCCTGAGCAGACATTTTTTAACAAAGGAGATAAAGACAGTGTAAATTATGCAATAAGAAATGTTCACCACCAAGAATTTTTAGGGAAATGTTATTAAAACAAAAAAACAAGTTAACAGTATACTCATTACCTGGCCTACTATTTAAAAAATAAATCACATATGCTGGCAGGGTAATGTAAAACCTGGACATTTCATTACTGTGGGTGGGTGGGAAGGCAAAGGGAATGACCATTTTAGATCACAGATCTGCATATCTTAAAATGTAACACATTCACCGACACTGCAACAGTTTGTTGGGCTTGATCACGTTCACTGAAAGGTCATTTGTTTGATTCCAGATCAGGGAACCTGCCCACCTGGATCTGCAGTAGTGGGCATGCAGGAGGCAGGAGATTGATGTTTCTCTCCCTCTGCCCTTCTGTCTAAAAATACATTGTAAAATATATAAAACTAGAGGCCTGGTTGACAACATTTGTGCACGGGTAGAATCCCTAGGCCTGGTCAGTGATCAGGACTTATCTGGGCCTTCCTTCCTTCCGTGCCATCCCCTGGTGGTCATCACATGTCATAGTGAGCAATCACACCACTGGTCTCCTGGTCAAACTCCCAAGGGGACACTTTGCATAATACACACACACACACACACACACACACACACACACACACACACACATACACACACACACAGACTAGAGGCCCAGTGCACAAAATTCATGCATGAGAGGAGAGGGTCCCTCATTCCAGCCTGCATTCTCTCCAGTCCGGGACCCTTCGGGGGATGTCCGACTGCAGGTTTTGCCCACAGGGATCAGGCCTAAACTGGCAGTCGGACATCCCTCTTGCAATCTGAGACCGCTGGATCCTAACTACTCACCTGCTTCCTGCCTGATTGCCCCTAACTGCCTCTGCCTGCCAGCTGATAGCCCCTAATTGCCCCCCCCCCTTACCGGTGCCAGACTGATCGCTCCTAACTGCCTCTGCCTGTCAGCTGGGTAACCCCTAACCACCTCTGCCTGCTGGCCAGGTCACCCCTAACAGATTCTGCCTGCTGGCCTGGTCACCCCTACCTGCCCTTCCCTACCGGCTGGGTCGCCCCTAACTGCCCTCCCCTCCTGACCGGATCACCCTTAATTGCCCTCCTCTGCCAGCCTGGTCACTCCTAACTGACTTCCCTGCTTGCCTGGTCGCCCCTAACCAACTCTGCCTTGGCCCCCGCCACCATGGCTTTGTCCAGAAGGATGTCCAGATGGATGTCCGGAAGATGTCTGATCTAATTAGCATATTATTGTTTTATTAGTATAGATTGTCATTTAAAATAAGAAAATAAATTACGGGTTTTGCATACTCATAACTGTAAGCATACTATTGCCCCACCATGGGTATGGGTAACAGAGACGTTTATTTCACATGTAACTGTTTCGAAGCTTAATCCGTATGTTCAATCTCACCAAATAGTACACATTAGAAAAGTGCTTTTTGTTGCATGTCAGTTATACATATACCTAACTAAAGCCTTAAAATGTGGTTCCAAATAAAAACACAGATATCCCTCTGTTGTTAGAAAATTAAGATGGCAACTCTATATAGACATGACCATCTCTCTCCTCATTTCCTGAGAGAATCATTGTTGCCTCAGTGGCACCAAATATTGTCAAGAAGTGAACACTACTGCCATCAGAATGATCAGGAATGCTGAACTGTCACAAAACACACAACCTGGGACTAATTATGATGATTCCTCCTCTAGCTTCGAGTTCTTGCCTGTTGTGATAACCTTGAGGTGAACACCATAGAGGGGCCCAGGGAATCCCCAAAGCCATGAGATTCTTTTCACAACAAATCACTTCAGCTACAAAAAGAACAAACAAGCTTCAGGACTGGGTCATTTGTGGATAATGTTCAGAAGAGGCAATTTTCACCCAATATACTGCCGTCTCTTCCACTCACTATGAAAACAGTGTCTGTCCCAATATTGGTTACACTTCACATTGTTACAACAAATGAAACCAGCCTATGATATTTCACACATCATGGCTCAGGGCTCCTTCACAGTATGTAAGACATACTATGAACAGAGAATATAGTTCATATTGTTCACAGAAGCACAACAAAGGACTCTTCACTGACCTCACCAATAATATAGGCACCGGGCTAAAAAATTAGAACCAAAATGTCATGCAGATTTTCGTTAAAGGACTTGGTCAGCAATACAAAATAAACTAATATTGACCAAAGAGTCATTTTTGTCATTATTATGTGCCTTCCAAAGCACAGAGAGCTTGGGACCCTACCTTATCTGTTCACCTCTGCGTGTGACAGATCACAACTACCCTTTCAAATCGTCCCAGGCAGTGAATATAACCAACAAAATAAAAGGTACAAAAGCAAAAAACACCTTTACTAAAAGATCATAAACCAGAACAGAGGACAGTAAGAATTTGCAGGTTGGTGAATTAGAAAATAAAACAATTCAGAAAAGCATAATGTGAGACACACAATGTCCCTGACAGAGGTAGCACTTCTTAGCTGAGGATGGGTGGTCTAGACAAACCCTGGGTCAGACGCATGCCCTAGTCAGAGAGAAGGAATGAGGATCCTGTCAAGAGCTTGAAATAATCATAATTTTCTCAAACACAAGTGAAAACACAGAATACATTTGCCCTGAGCACAGAGGGTTTGTGAGTGATGCACACTCTTAAGGTGAGCCAGGTGGTAGAGGTGAAATCTCTTCAGCCACAAATGTTCGGTGTGACATCAATTGGGTAGTAGGTCTGGGCATATTAGCAAGTACAATGCAGCTCCTTCAAGCCTCACTTGTACCTGAAACTTATGAGAAATATATCAGAGTGTATGTTCCATTAAAATGGGTTTAAATTCAGAAAAATAGGTCCCAAAGAGTCACCTTCAGTGTTGTTATACTGAGAAAAATAAAACATTCCCTGCACATTTAACACTTCCCTCCAGTGTGAACTCTCAGGTGTCTACTAAGGCTAGATTTTTGGCTAAAAGACTTCCCACAATCAGTACACTCATATGGCTTCTCTCCAGTGTGAACTCTGAGGTGTGCAGTGAGCTGAGCCTTTAGACGAAAGGACACCCCACATTCTCTACACTTGTACGGCTTTTCTCCAGTGTGAACACTGTGGTGTTGTTTGAGGTTACACTTATCACTGAAGGTCTTCCCACAATCACAGCACTCATATCGCTTGTCGCCCCTGTGAACTCTCAGGTGTCTAATAAAGTTAGATTTTACGCTGAAAGTCTTCCCACATTCAGTACACTCATATGGCTTCTCTCCAGTGTGAACTCTGAGGTGTTCAGTGAGGTAAGCACTTTGACGAAAAGACTTCCCACATTCTCTACACTCATACAGCTTTTCTCCAGTGTGAACTCTGAGGTGTTCAGTGAGGGAAGCACTTTGACGAAAAGACTTCCCACATTCTCTACACTCATACAGCTTTTCTCCAGTGTGAACTCTGAGGTGTTCAGTGAGGGAAGCACTTTGACGAAAAGACTTCCCACATTCTCTACACTCATACAGCTTTTCTCCAGTGTGAACTCTGAGGTGTTCAGTGAGGGAAGCACTTTGACGAAAAGACTTCCCACATTCTCTACACTCATACAGCTTTTCTCCAGTGTGAACTCTGAGGTGTTCAGTGAGGTGAGCCCTTCGATGAAAGGACTTCCCACATTCTCTACAGTCATACAGCTTTTCTCCAGTATGAACTCTCTTATGTCGATTGAGGTTAAAGATTCGTGTAAACAGTTTCCTACATTTGTTACACTCATAAAGCAGTTCTCCAGAACACACACCTGGGCACTGAACAACTTTCAGGTTGTGGCTTGCAGCAATTTCACATTCACCCCACTGGTGATGACTGTTTCCCCTGTGAAATTCCTGTGAAATCTCACGGCCACAGGGTAGCTCCTCAGTGTTGAGAGTGGTGTGGTGCTTGGGAAGCTCTGATTTGTACTGTAAGTCTTCCCTATCCTCGCTGCTGGTTGAAGGCACCGAAGACATGTAGAGGCTGGAACTGCTCACAAAGGAAGCCCTGTCAATAGCTTGTTTCCAGGGCCCCTCTCCACATTCATTCCTCTGTTTCTGTTGAGAGTTTGCACTGAAACAGAAGTCTACAACACATGAGTCACTACAGAATGCTTTCTGCTCAAAATATGCTGCATGAGATCCAGTCAGGTGCAAAATACCTTTTAACACAGAGAAACATCGCTTACACAGAGGGATCTTCGGGGTAATTGGAGCTGTCTTAGAAGCCCTGACCTGTGACTCTCCTTGTATAGATATAATCTGAGCAGAACAGGCCTCATCACCATCAATTTTATGCCAACAACCTGAAAATGAGAAAGGGTAAGGAAATTAATGTTGAATGTGGTGACAGGGGGAAGTCCCGTTACAAAAGTGTGTTACACATCACACGTTGGTTCCATGCAATTGTCTGAAAATAAGAGATGTGCAGGAAGGATTAATAAGAGGCTCTTGTGACTTTCTGCGCTAATGAAGATCACAACACAGGGAGGCCTCACCAGAAATATGACAAACATGGCAAGCACCACATGGATTAGAATATGGATCTCCAGCTAATCCTTCAACTAACAAAATTCAGCAAAGCTTGTCTGCTGGGGACTGGGGCGAGCTGTGCCCGACATTGGCTCCATCTTACTCCAAGTAAAATTCAATAAAGGAGTAGCTGGTTTTGAGGACTACTTAGCACATATGTGCACGTCATAACACATGCGCAAGTCAATGTTGCAGAATACTGCAGAGTCACCAATGCAGAGAAACAGCTGATGAAGAAGTGAGCGGTCAGCACTGGGCCAGAGCTACACAACTTGCTATAGTATTCAGGGAAGAAAATATAACAAATAATTGAATGAGGGCCTTACAAGAACAGCCAATGGTTCATGTATGTAAAGACCATAACATGACACAAGTTGCTACAAAGAACACTTACCTAGAGAAAGAGGGCAGAAGTTGAAGCCATGCATGCGGACACTGTCAGCCTCCCATGAAGAGAAAGTGCAAGCTGGGACCCATTAAGCTCACTGCAAGACTCCTGACTCCCTAACACTTCCTGTACTTTTTGAGGTAACAGGTGTTAGTGATGTTCCTGGAATCCTTTACTCAGAGCTCCCCGTCCAGCTCATCCCTGACAGCCACAGCATGTTTGACAGGAAAGTGGGGGAAATTAGCAGAGGCCATGTTCTGGCTGTGGGAGAGAGAAAGCTACGGCTGAGGAATAAAGGAAGAGAGGTCATCACCTCAGGACACTGGGAGAATGTGAAGGTCTTACCTACAGATGACACAAGTGCAAAAGCTTCTAGCATCACATCGCAGTACAGAAGTCTCTGAGCCTCATCAAGGATCCCCCATTCTTCCTGAGAGAAGGCAATGGCCACGTCCTCAAAGTTCATATCCTGTCATAATGGAGACAGTACAGCCCATGATCAGATTCACTCCTAAGTTTATATGTCTGTCATACTCCCTACCCTCCACACCCATCTTCTCTTTTCACTCTATATATTACATGAAATACCAGGCTTACATCCTATGAAAGCCACTGTCTTCTTATATTTCTGCTGATATTTTTCTTCCCACAACAATTAAGGCAGTTGAACAGATAGAAGATACCTGAGCTCTGCAAATCCCATGTATACCACACTACCTCTTATTAATAGAGTGGGTGTTCAAAACAGGTTAGAAAGGGATGTTGACGATAAAAATAGTGTGAGTAATTTGATACTGGTCTCTTCAGGAAATAGACTTGTAGTCCTTCTGATTGTTCCTTGAAGACACCAAAAACATGGCATCATACTTCATCAGCTTGATCCCAACCCCAAGGTATGAGGCCATCGCTTTCCACTACCTGCTGCACATAGTTCTTTCAACAACACTTCTCTCACACAGCTTCTTTCCCAGAGGCACAACATCAAAGGTAATGCAAATTTTCCATGGCGTGGATAATTTTTTTTCTAATCACCTTCTTTTCCAAAATTACAGTTCACACAACCTCCATAATCTATTTCTCTCTTACCCTTCTTCCTTACCCATGGCAGTGGAGATTTACAGGACTGGGTAACACTGATGAATGCTATCTCATTCCCATCAACCAGTGTGTCACTCCCAACAAAAGGCAGGTGGATAGTTAAATGGCACCTAAGCTCTTAACCTAGAATGTAGCACCCAAACACCTCTCTCTACAGGCAATTATCCTAAAATTCACCTTATTGTTACATCCAGGGACCAGCATAAATAGAATCACCCTCCATTCACTCTCATGTCAATGACCGGGACCTATCACCATAAATTCACAATCCCTCTCCAAGTGCTCATCACTCTTTATACCACACCTCCCTTACACTTGCACTTCCACAGCCCCAGCGCCCATACTCATCTCCTGGCCTTTTACTTATTACTCAGCATGTGTGGTCCAGAGGAGGGTTGTCAAATTGAATCAAGATCAAGTACTTCCCAGAGTCTAATAGTCCACACTCATAGAGGCAGTCTTGTGTCTTGCTATGTAGGCCTCTCTCCATGACTTTTTTTCCCCTTCAACCTCAACTATTAAGAACAACAATCAGATCTCAGATATCCATAGCCCAACTCTTGTGATGCTGCACTTGATGTCCCTTCACTAGTCATAGCCAACATCCCTCACTTAACCTTCACTCAAGCCCCACCCTGATGGCCCTCTGCAGCATGCCCAGTGAGTCTCACAGATGACCACTCAAGCCTCTAAGCTAATCCACAAGATGGACTTCAACTCCCCACAGCCAGGCTACACTGAGGGTCACAACAAAATCCTGGTGAGAGTTTAGAAAAGGTGTATGTACCAACCCTAGTCTCATGTTGTTTGAATTACTCTTTGCCCTCCAATTAATCTCAGGTCCACTCATCTTTTGAATGTATTTGCTACTGCAAAGTGATTATTTCTCCCCCACACTCTACATGACAACTTCTGTCCTTATGACATCCACCTCCCACAAACAGTGGCTACAGCAAGAAAGCCAGTCCTGGCGCAGAGTGTGAGGCTATTCCTAGGCTAGCGAGCATTTACCCTCTGGCCTTGCGCATAGTGTGCAGTGGTTGCTGGGTGCCAGGGAGCCTCCCGCCGGCTGGGTGCTAAAGGAGTTGTGGCTATCCAGACATCTGATAAGAGGACTCCTAACAAGATATTGTCACTGTAACCTATAAATACCTGAATCATTACAGTTTCCTCTAAATTTCACAGAATATATAAAGAACTCTTCACCCCGTCCGAGGAGCAGTAGCCGCGTGCAGCCAGCCCCCATCAAAGGAGTAGCAGCTACGTGAGCAGTCTACCCACGTCCGAGGAGCAGCAGCCACGCGGGCAGCCTGCCACTGTCCAAGGACCAGCAGCTGTGCGCAGCCAGCCCCCATCAGAGAAGCAGCAGCCTCTTGAGCAGCCCACCCCAGTACGAGGAGCAGCAGCTGTGCGAGCAGCCCTCCCCCACCTGCCAGAGGAGCCACGACTGCTGCAAACAGCACCCACTAAAGGAGTCACTGCCAACTGAGGAGCAGCTGCTGCTGCGATTGCCCGATGAGCAACTGCAGCCCGAGGAGCAACTGCCACCCAAGGAACAGCCCCTGCACAAATCAACATCTAGATCTGTTGGTGAGATCAAAAATGGGTAGACAAAGAAACCCCCAAAGGAATGAAAAGGAAGAATCACCAGATAAGCAGCTAAGTAGAAGAGAGGGATGCAATATGTCAGAAAAAATTCAGAATAAGGGTTATACAGTTCATAAACAGGATGGATGAAAAAAAATCAGTAACTTACGTAAGAATCAAGAAGAAATAAAGAGTGATATAGCTGCAATAAAGAACACCATGGAATGTTTCAACAGTAGATTAGGAGAAGTGGAGGACCAAATTAGCGAATTAGAAGACAGGGAAGCAAAATGCACCACCCAAACTGAACTGAAATTGGGAAAAAAAATTAAAAGACAGGTGGAGGGCCTAAGGGAGCTATAGGGCAACATGAAATAACAGGAAGAGGAACAAGGTTTAAAAAACCTATTTGAAGAAATAATGTCAGAAAACTTCCCTGATGTGGAGAAGAAAGAAGTCATACAAGCACAGAGAGTCCCAAACAAGATGAACCCAAAAAGACCCACACCAAGACACATCATAATTACGACGGCAAATGTTCAGTACAAAGAGAGAATCTTAAAAGCTGCAAGAAAGAAACAGAAAGTTACATACAAGGGATCTCCCATTAGATTATCAAAAGATTCCCCAACAGAAATACATCAGGCCAGAAAAGAGTGGAAGAAAATTTACAAAGTGATGCAAAGAAAGGGACTGAATCCAAGAATACTCTATCCAGCAAGGCTATCATTGAAAATTGAAGGGGAAATAAGGATCTTCACAGACAAAAAAAGGCTAAGGGAGTTTATCACTACCAAGCCAGCAATGCAAGAAATGCTAAAGGGACTGGTATAAAAAGAAGAAATAAAAAGGGAAGGAACACAGGCACAAAAAATAAAAATGGCTACAATTATATATCAATAACTTTAAACATAAACGAACTAAATGCTCCAATCAAAAGACATCGAGTGGCTGAATGGATAAAAAAAACATGACCTATATATATGCTGTCTACATGAGACCCACCTCAGAACAAGGGATTCACACAGACTGAAAGTGAAGGGATGGAAAAATGTCTTTCAGGCAAGTAGAAATGAAAAAAAACCCGGGGTAGCAATATTTATATCTGACAAAATAGACCTCAAAGAAGGCCATAACAAGAGATAAGGAAGGTCACTTCATAATACTAAAGGGAACGATACAACAAGAGGATATAACCCTGATAAAAATATATGCACCCAATGTAAATACACCACTGACATCACTGGATAAATCCTCTAGGCAAAAAAATCAGCAAAGAAACAGCAATTCTAAATGACTCACTAGATCAGATGGACTTAGTTGACATCTTCAGAGCATTTCACCCCAAATCCACGGAATATACATTCCTCTCAAGTGCACACGAAACATTTTAAAAAATAGATCACAAATTGGGTCACAAGCAAAGTTTCCCCAAATTCAAGAAGATTGAAATCATATCAAGCATCTTCTCAGATGCTTGGCATAATATTAGAAATAAACTACAATAAAAACAATCCAAAAAATTCAAACACTTGGAAGCTGAATAGCATGCTATTAAACAATGATTGGGTTATGAAGGAGATCAAAGAAGAAATTAAAAACATCATGGAAACTAATGACAATGAAAACACAACAATCCAAAATCTATGAGAAACAATTAAAGTCGTCCTGAGAGGGAAGTTTATAGCTCTACAGGCCTACCTCAAAAAACAAGATAAAATGGAAGTAAATTATCTACTCTAAAACTTAAAGAATTAGAAAAAGAGCAACAAAAAAAAGCCCAGAGTGAGCAGACGGAAGGAGATAAAGATCAGAGCAGAAATAAATGACACGGAGACCAAAAAAGACAATACAAAAGATCAATGAAAACAAGAGCTGGTTCTTTGAAAGGATAATCAAGATTGATGAACCTCTAGCCAGGCTCAACAAGAAGCAAAGAGAGAGGATCCAAATAAACAAAATCAGAAATGAAAGAGGCAAAATTACATCAGACCCCAGAGAAATACAAAGGATTGCTAAAAAATACTATGAACAACTCTATTCCAACAAATTAGACAACCTAGAGGAAATGGACATATTCCTAGAAAATTACAACATTCCAATACTCAATCAGGAAGAATCTAAAAATCACAATAGGCCAATAACTATGGAAGAAATTGAAACAGTCATCAAAAAGCTTCCAGCAAACAAAAGCCTGGGGCCAGACGGCTTCCACATGGGAGATTTACCAAACATTCAAGGAAGAACTAAAACCTATCCTCCTCAGACTATTCCAAAAAATTCAAGAGGAAGGAACACTTCCAAACTCATTCTATGAAGCCAGCATCACCCTAATACCAAAACCAGATAAAGACAACACAATGAAAGAGAATTACAGGCCAATATCCTTCATGAACATAGATGCCCAAATCCTCAACAAAATCCTAGTAAATCGGATCCAGCAGTACATCAGAAAGGTCATACACCATGACCAAGTAGGATTTATCCCGGGAATGGAAAGATGGTACAACATCCACAAATCAATAAACATGATACATCACATAAACAAATTGAGACATAAAAATCACACTGTCATATCAATTAATGCAGAAAAAGCATTTGACAAAATCCAACATCCTTTCTTGATAAAAACTCTCAGTAAGGTGGGAATAGAAGGATCATACCTCAATATAATAAAAGCCACATATAACAAACCCACAGCCAACATCATACTCAACGGGCAAAAACTAAAACCATTTTCCCTAAGAACAGGAACCAGACAAGGATGCCCACTCTCACCACTCCTGCTTGACATAGTACTGGAAGTACTAGCCATTGCGATCACACAAGAAAAAGGAATAAAAAGCATTCAAATTGGAAAAGAAAAAGTAAAACTGTCCTTATCTGTAGATGACATGATACTGTACATAGAAAATCCTAAAGACTCCATCAAAAAATTATTAGACTTAATACATGAATTTGGCAATGTAGCAGGATACAAAATTAACACCAAGAAATCTATGCCATTTCCATACACCAATAGTGAACTTACAGAAAAAGATACTGAAAAATCCCATTGACCATCGCACCAAAAAATTTAAGATACCTAGGAATAAACTTAACTAAGGAGGTAAAAGACCTATACTCGGAAAACTACAGAGCACTGAAAAAAGAGAAAGAGGAAGACATAAACAGGTGGAAGAACATACCGTGTTCATGGATTGGTAGAATCAACATCATCAAGATGTTCATACTACCCAAAGCAATCTATAGACTTAATGCACTTCCCATTAAAATACCAATGGCATATTTCACAGACCTAGAACGAACTTTCCAAAAATTCATCTGGAATAAAAAAAGACCACAAATAGCTG